GGCATGCGCAACCACACCTGGCTAATTTTGTATTTTTAGTAGAGACAGGGTTTCTCCATGTTTGTCAGGCTGGTCTTGAACTCCTGACCTCAGGTGATCCACCCACCTAGGCCTCTAAAAGTGCTAGGATTACAGGCATAAGCCACCGTACCCAGCCTAAAATTGAATTGATTTTTCTAGAGACAGGGTCTCGCTCTGTCTCCCAGGCTGGAGTGCAGTGGTGACATCACGGCTCACTGCAGCCTTTACCTCCTGGGCTCAAGTGATCCTCCCACTTCAGCCTCCCCAATAGCTAAGCTAATTTAATTTAATTTTTTTGTAGAGATGAGGGCTCGCTATGTTGCCCAGGCTGGTAAACCCCTGACCTGAAGTGATCCTCATGCCTCAGCCTTCCAAACTACTGGGATTAAAGGCGTGACCCACTGGGTCACAGGCTAAGGGAGCAATTTTTTACTTTGCTGGGTGATAATAATAATCCCGAGGCTATTTTTTATATTTTTAGTAGAAACAGGGTTTCACCATATTGGCCAGGCTGGTCTCGAATGCCTGACCTCAGGTGATCTACCTGCCTCGGCCTCCCAAAGTGCTGGGACTACAAGCATGAGCCACGGTACCCAGCCTCCTCCTTTTATAAGGATACCAATCAATCCATCGGATTAGGGCCCCGCCCATTCACCTTAATTATTTCCATAAAGGCTCTACCGCCAAATATAATCACACTGGGGCCATACGAATCTGGGCCCATACGAACCTGGGGCCATAATGCTCCCTGAAGTTTGGATGAATTTCGCCACCCCTGAAATCGGACACTTAGGCAGTATACAACAATGAAGGGACCAGCTCTGAAGTAGTCACCCAACAGCTGAACTGAAATTTAATCAAGCCTTTACATTAAATTTCCGGACTCCATAGGCGGGAATAACAAAAAAGGGCCAGAGAGTAACTGTTTTCAACTTTGCAGGCCAAACAGCCCCTGTAAATACTCCACCCGGCCCCTGGAGCATAAAAGCAGCCACAGACACACAAATAGGCATGGCTGTGTTCCAATTAAACTGTATTTATAGACTGTGACACAGAATCACATATAATTGTCATAGGTCACCAAGTTCATTCTTTTGATTTTTACCAGTTATGTAAAAATGTTAAAAGCCATTCTTGCGGGGCGCGGTGGCTCAGGCCTGTAATCCCAGCACTTTGGGAGGCCGAGGCGGGTGGATCACGAGGTCAAGAGATCGAGACCATCCTGGTCAACATGGTGAAACCCCGTCTCTACTAAAAATACAAAAAAAAAGGCCGGGCACGGTGGCTCAAGCCTGTAATCCCAGCACTTTGGGAGGCCGAGGCGGGTGGATCACAAGGTCGAGAGATCGAGACCAACCTGGTCAACATGGTGAAACCCCGTCTCTACTAAAAATACAAAAAATTAGCTGGGCATGGTGGCGCGTGCCTATAATCCCAGCTACTCAGGAGGCTGAGGCAGGAGAATTGCCTGAACCCAGGAGGCGGAGGTTGCGGTGAGCCGAGATCGCGCCATTGCACTCCAGCCTGGGTAACAAGAGCGAAACTCCGTCTCAAAAAAAAAAAAAAAAAAAAAAAATACAAAAAAAAATTAGCTGGGCATGGTGGCGCGTGCCTGTAATCCCAGCTACTCAGGAGGCTGAGGCAGGAGAATTGCCTGAACCCAGGAGGCGGAGGTTGCGGTGAGCCGAGATCGAGCCATTGCACTCCAGCCTGGGTACCAAGAGCGAAACTCCGTCTTGAAAAAAAAAAAAGCCATTCTTAGTTTGTAGGCTGAACAAAAACAGGTAGCAGTTAAAAAGTCAGATAGCTTGGTCGGGTGCTTGGGCTCTTACCTACATGTAATTCCAGCACTTTGGGAGGCTAAGGCAGGCAGATCACAAGGTCAGGAGTTCAAGACCAGACTGACCAACATGGAGAGCCCCCATCTCTACTAAAAATACAAAATTAGCTGAGTGTGGTGGCACATGCCTGTAATTCCAGCTACTTGGGAGGCTGAGGCAGGAGAATCGCTTGAACCCGGGAGGTAGACGTTGCAGTGAGCCGAGATCCCACCACTGCACTCCAGCCTCAGCAACAAGAGCAAAACTCCATCTCAAAAACAAAACAAACAAACAAAAAAAGTGGAAACAACACAAAGGTACCTCAACTGAAGAACAGATAAGCAAAATAAGTATATCCTGGGCAAAGGAACATTATTCAGCCATGAATAATGTTCAGCGAATAAAGTGGCTGGCTGGTGCTGATGACTCACACCTGTAATTCTAGTACTCTGGGAGGCCAAGGCAGGAGGATCACTTGAGCCCAGGAGGTTGAGGCTGTAGTGAGCCATGATCAAACCACTGCACTCCAGCCTGGGCAACACAGGGAGGCCCAGTCTCAAAGAAAATAAAGGCCAGGCGCAGTGGTTCATGTCTGTAATCCCAGCAGTTTGGGAGGCCAAGGCAGGTGGATCACCTGAGGTCAGGACTTCAAGGTCAGGAGTTGGAGAACAGCCTCGTCTCTAACTCCTGACCTCAGGCGATCCACCTGCCTCCACCTCCCCAAGTGCTGGGATTACAGGTGTAAGCCACTGCTCCTGGCCAATGCTGATTTTTAAAACAGGTAGCTGGCAGGATTTGGGTTTGGTGGCAGAATGTAGTTAGCTGATCCCTGGCATGAAGAAACAAGTAAAATGAGGCCAGGTTCAATGGCTCAAATCCGTAATCTTTGCACAACACTTTGGGAGGCCAAGGCAGGAGGATCATTTAAGCCCAGGAGTTTGAGACCAGTTTGGGTAATATAGCAAGACCTTATCTCTATTTTTAAATAGTTAAAAACAAAGAGACAGAAACAAGTAAAATAAGACCACAAAAAAAGCAAACAGACAAATTCAGATGGTGGGATGATCAACAGAACTAGACTCAAGTTTCTTCACTGAATTAATTTCACCAAGAAAAAAACAAACTGGAGTGGAAGGGGGAACAGTTCTTTTTTCTTGAGATAGAGTCTCACTCTGTAGCCCAGGCTGGAGTGCAGTGACGCGATCTCGGTTTACTGCAACCTCTGCCTCCCGGGTCCCAGTTCAAGCAGTTCTCCTACCTCAGCCTCCCAAGTAGCTGGGATTACAGGCATGCACCACCACACCCAGCTCATTTTGAACTTTTAGTAGGGACGGGGTTTCTCCATTTTGGTCAGGCTGGTCTCGAACTCCTGACCTCAGGTAAGCCACCCGCCTTGGCCTCCCAAAGTGCTGTGATTATAGGCATGAGCCACCACGCCTAGCTTAACTTAGAAATTTAATCAAATTTAATTTAATCAATTAAATTTAATCAAATTTAATCAAGAAATTTAATCACCCGGCCTGTTTTAATCTCTTTTAAGTTAAAAAATAAAAATACAGCCAGGCGCAGTAGCTCAAGCCTGTAATCCCAGCACTTTGGGAGGCCGAAGTGGTGGATCATGAGGTCAAGAGATCGAGACCATCCTGGTCAACATGGTGAAACCCCGTCTCTACCAAAAATACAAAAAAAAGGCCGGGCGCGGTGGCTCAAGCTTGTAATCCCAGCACTTTGGGAGGCCGAGGCGGGTGGATCACGAGGTCGAGAGATCGAGACCATCCTGGTCAACATGGTGAAATCCCGTCTCTACTAAAAATACGAAAAATTAGCTGGACATGGTGGCGCGTGCCTGTAATCCCAGCTACTCAGGAGGCTGAGGCAGGAGAATTGCCTGAACCCAGGAGGCGGAGGTTGCGTTGAGCCGAGATCGCACCATTGCACTCCAGCCTGGGTAACAAGAGTGAAACTCCGTCTCAAAAATAAATAAATAAATAAATAAAATAAAATAAAATAAAAATAAAAATAAACCAGGTGCGGTGGCTCACATCTGTAATCCCAGCACTTTGGGAGGCCGAGGCGGGTGGATCAGGAGGTCAGGAGATTGAGACCATCCTGGCTAACATGGTGAAACCCCGTCTCTACTAAAAAATACAAAAATTAGCTGGGCGTGGTGGTGTGCACGTGTAGTCCCAGCTTCTCGGGAGGCTGAGGCAGGAGAATCACTTGAACCAGGGAGGCAGAACCAGGTGCAGTGAACCGAGATCGTGCCACTGCACTCCAGCCTAGGCGACAGAGCGAGATTCCCTCTCCAAAAAAAAAAAAAAAAAAAAAAAAACAGCAAGTATGGCCAAAATAATAATTGGTAGATTTGGGTGACAGGAATTCCTATTTCTTCTCTCACTTTCATGTAAGTTTGAACATCTTCATAAGAAAACATCATTACCATCCAACTGCCTCAAGGCCCCCTCAAGCCCCAAGTTCACAGAATTAGCAGCACAATCAGAATGTGAATCTATGACTGCCGGACCCCGAAGCTCCACGCAGGAAAACGTGAAGCCCTGTACCCACCCCGAGAGGGAAGGGGCTGTCAGGTGAAAAGAAGGTGGCGATGGACAACTGGACAATCTAGTATCGCCCGCCGTCCCACCACAGTCCGGGAAACTGAGACCAGAAAAGGAGTTCTCTTCCCTGAAGTCCCACTCCTGAGACCCCCAGCAATCCCAGTCCACTCCTTCCCTTGGGACCGCCAGCAAATAGCCATCTACAGCGGAACTGTAACTCTCGGGAGAACTGGCCGATGCTAGCTACCACTTAGCTGAGTTTATAGTGAGAGTGAGGGAGAGGGAGAACTGACCGATGGACGGTTGCCCCCCCTCCAGGAGAGTCTAGTTCAGCTTCAAACTTGGGGCGCTCGTACGGCTCTGTTAATAATGATCGACAGGGAGTCAGGAATCCAAAATCTTGCCCAGGTCTCCCTCAAGACCCGAGACCTCTAGCCCGCAGGAAAGCGATCCCAGCAACACTCTTCCTACACCGTCTCGAACTCACCTCAAGAACGACTCTCAGTTCCTTGGTCGCTTCTTCAACTGTGCGCGGACACCGGAAAGGAGCGCCGGTGTTACCCGCTCCGCTCCGCCCGCTTCCGCCCAGCAGAAGGCACCGGAAGCAGAGGTGCCCATAGTTGCGGAAAGTGCCTCACCCGGCTTGCTCAAGTCCTCTCTTCTCCTCTTTCTCCCTCCGGAAACGTGAGTGGCAAATCGAAGGTTCCGGTTGTTGAAACTGGTGGGAATATGGGGAACGCTTAGTATGTACTAGGCATTTCCCAGGGAGCTAGTTTTTTCTTGTTTGATGCCCAGGCTTTGAGTCTCTGCAAGCCCCAATTTAAGGACTAACCACTTCCCCTAGAGATTAAGAAGTCCTCTTTCCCAAATATCCACTTTTCTTGCTGCATCTTAAAACACAATGGAGAGGGGACAGCTGGCGCTCCCATTTTATAGACAGAACCATTGGAAATGGAAAGGCAAAGCCGTTCCAGTCGCCCTCGGGAAACGGGGATTTACTGCGGCACTACCCAGCTGTCCCAGGAACTACGGCACCTCGTTCCCGCCAGTTTCTGAATATCTAGAGACCCAGACGTTGATTTTTCTAGCTTGGCCAGGCGAACACCTAGAGGACAGGCGGAGCGGTTAGGGGCCGGGAGGAAAAAGGAGGAGAGTCGAATCCCAGCTCCCAAGTGCCCCAAGGTATTCGACACCTTGGCTCCCCCAGGGAGCTCAGGCCTTTTAAGTTCTTTATCCTAAGGTCCCTTTAAATACTTTGTCCCTTACCTGAGTCCCGCCCAGGGCAGGTAATAACAAGCTCCGCCCCTCTGCCAGAAACCGGGATCGGGCCTGGTTACCCGGAGTGGGGCGCCCCTCCTCCCCCTCCCCTCTTCCCTGTCCCCCTTCACAGGTGGCTGTAGCTGGCCAAGGAGGTCCGGATTAAAGAGGAAGGGGCAGTGCTCACAGGTCTGGGCAGGTAAGGGAATGTTCCTGGAGGAAGAGCTTGGCTTGGGGACCCAGGCATCCTGGCTCCCCGCCCCTCTGAGACCCAGAAGTCTGGGGCTCCTAGGCTTAGGAGTCCAGGGCCCCTGCCCCCTTAGGTCCCTAGACCCAAGAATATATTTAATCCCCGGCCTCTGCCTCTGTCGTAATCTTTGTTGTCTGTGCATGGATGTGACAATGAACACAGAAGCACAAGTGGAAATTACCAGGAAGGAAGGAGTCCAGATCACCAGTGGACATGTTTATGAGCACCTGGGTCGGGTGCTGTAGACACAGTAGAGAAAAAGATAAGCTCCCTGCTCTAGTCTCTGGCAGACACTGCCTTCACTGAAATCTTGGCTCTCACACTTGCACACTGTGTGACCTTGGGCAAGTTAATTTACCTCTCTGTGCCTCAGTTGTCTCTTCTCTAAAATTGAGGATAATAGGATTCCTGGCTATGTGTGGTGGCTCATGCCTGTAATCCCAACACTTTGGGAGGTTGAGGCGGGCCGATCACTTGAGGTTAGTAGTTTGAGACCAGCCTGGCCAACACGGTGACGCCCCATCTCTACTAAAACTACACAAATTAGCTGGGCGTGGTGATACGCGCCTGTAATCCCAGCTACCCAGGAGGCTGAGGCAGGAGAATCGCTTGAACCCAGGAGGCAGAGGTCACAGTGAGCTGAGATAGTGTCACTGCACTTCAGCCTGAATGGCAGAGCGAGACTGTGTCTCAAAAGAAAAGTAAAATGAGTTTATATAGGTAAACAATGTCTGGTTGTGTAATTGTCCACTGTTATTATCATTATGGACCGCAGAGGCCAGTCAGAGAGACACTGCCTCACTCTGCAGGGACTGAGGCCCTGTCAGCTCTAACACACCTGCCTCTAGGTGTCCACAAAATATGAGGGGCCACCCCTCTCTGCTGCTGCTATACATGGGATTTACCACCTGCCTCGATACTTCACCCAGTGCGGAGAAAGACCAAGGTGAGTGTTTGGGGGAAGTAGTGTCCAGGCACTTGGCCTTGACCTCCCCGGACTCAGGAATGCCTGCCTCTAGTCCCCACCTCTTCCAGGAATCCAGGACCCGGCCCTTTCCTCCTTCAGACCCAGGAGTCTGGATTCCCAGCCCTTACTCCTTCCTCCAGGACCCCACTGCTCCCCATCCCCCTATGACTCCGGCCCTAGGGACCCTCCGTTTTTCTCTCTCTCACGTCTTTGGGCCCCGAAGTCTTCCTGGGTCCCCCAGAGGCCCAGAGCTTCCTGAGTCGCCGTACCCGGATTCGAAGAGCCAATCACTGGGACCTGGAGCTGTTCACGCCGGGGAACCTGGAACGGGAGTGTCTGGAAGAGAAGTGTTCCTGGGAAGAGGCCAGGGAGTATTTTGAGGACGACACTCTCACGGTGACGTTACGGCCCCCCCCCCCCCCGTCTTCTCCATACCTGTGGGGAGGTTGCGGGGACGTTCTGGCCCTCAACTCCCTCCTCCCGGACTCAGAAATCAGGGTGGGCTCGTTTGGGTTGTGAACATCCCAGCTGAATTGCTGCTTTTCCTCTTTTTCCCACTCCTCTCCCTTCAAGGAGCACTTTTGGGAGAGCTACATCTACAATGGGAAAGGAGGTGAGTGAGGGGCTGAAGCCATCTTGTTCTGTGCAGCTAAGGCAGTCCCTTCCCAGGGAGGACAAACCGATGTCCTCCACCCCAAATTAGGGACAAGAATTGTCTGCCCCCCATTTCTGTGCTCCCTGAAGCTGGCTACTAAAGGAGTTCCCTCCCTTAAGACCGCAGCTTGATGCGGGGCGCGGTAGCTCACGCCTGTAATCCCAGCACTTTGGGAGGCCGAGGCAGGTGGATCACAAACTCAGGAGTTCAAGACCAGTCTGGCCAACATAGTGACTAAAAATACAAAACAGTTAGCCGGGTGTAATGGTATGTGCCTGTAATCCCAGCTACTTGGGAGGCTGAGGCGAGAGAATTGCATGAATCCGGGAGGCAGAGGTTGCAGTGAGCTGAGATCATGCCATTGCACTCCAGCCCAAGTGATAGTGTGAGACTTTGTCTCAAAAAAAAAAAAAAAAAAAAAAAAAGACCCGAGTTTGTCTGAGGAGCCCCCCACGTCTTATTATTATTTTATTTTATTTTTATTTTTATTTTATTTTATTTTTTTTTTTGAGAAGGAGTTTCGCTCTTGTTACCCAGGCTGGAGTGCAATGGTGCGATCTCGGCTCACCGCAACCTCCGCCTCCTGGGTTCAGGCAATTCTCCTGCCTCAGCCTCCTGAGTAGCTGGGATTACAGGCACGCGCCACCATGCCCAGCTAATTTTTGTATTTTTAGTAGACACGGGGTTTCACCATGTTGACCAGGATGGTCTTGATCTCTTGACCTCGTGATCCACCTGCCTCGGCCTCCCAAAGTGCTGGGATTACAGGCTTGAGCCACCGCGCCCGGCCCTATTATTTTATTTTTAATTATTTTTGAGATAATAATTAAAGTCACCCAGTTAAAATAATTGAAGCACCCAGTCGCCCAGGCGGGGTGCAATCTTGGCTGAGTGCAACCTTAACTTCCCAGGCCCAAGCGATCCTCCCACCTCAGTCTCTAGTTTAACTGGGATTCCAGGCACACACCACAATGGTAATTTTGGTAATTTTTGTAGAGACGGGGTCTGTGTTGCCCAGGCTGGTCTTGAATGCCTGGTCTCAAGCAGTCCTCCTGCTTCAGCCTCCCAAAGTGCTGGGATGACAGGTGCCAGGCCCCACCATATCTTATTGGATGCAGGTCCCGTGTCCCTAGGAAGGGAAAAGTGTTAGTGGAGGGAAAGGATAGAGCTATGTGGTCTGTCAGGCCTTCCGGCTCAAAGTGGGCAGCCCCACCCGGGTCCAGAGTAAGTGGAAAGACCAGCCCCTCGGGCGGTTTGGTTGCTGGGGACACTGCCCTCCAGCAACAGGACCAAGGGACGAAGCCTGCCCGTCCTCACCTGCCCATTTTGCCCCCCACAACCCCTCCTCTGAGTTCCGAGGTCCTATCTTGTTGGCAGCCTTGTTGCTAAGGGGGGCTGCTCCTTAGCAACGGGGCCTGGCCAGGCCAGACCAGACGAAGAAGCCTGAAGCTGTACCTGGCTGCTTTCCCCTCCCCCACAGCCCCATCCCAGCAGCTGCCTGGTTGCTAAGGAGGCCTTCTCCCTAGCAACCTACACCTAGCCAGGCTCCAGGACCCAAGGCCTTCTGCCCACTGGAGGACCACCCTCTGGGCCCCCGATGCCCCACCCCCTTGTGGCCCAGTTGCTAGGGGTAGATGCACCTTAGCAACAGGCCCTAGGTCTGGACTGGCGCCTCACATTGGAGCCTGGTTGCTAGGGGAGGTAACTCCTTCCCGACAGGCCTCGCGAGGCCTGGGGGCTCCCTGAATCCACCTGAAGGTAGCCGAATCAGGAGAACCTGCCTTCTGAAGCCTTCCTTGTGCTTTTTTCTAAAGGGGCTCAAAAGTTTCAGGTTTACTGCGGCCGGATGCGGCGGCTCATGCCTGTAATCCCAGCACTTTGGGAGGCCGAGGCAAGTGGATCACCTGAGATCAGGGGTTCGAGATCAGCCTGGCCAATGTAGCGAAACCCCATCTCTACTCAAAATACAAAAATTAGCTGGGCGTGGTGATGTGCGCTGTAATCTCAGCTACTCGAGAGGCTGAGGCGGGAGAATTGCTGGAACCCGGGAGGTGGAGGTTGCAATGAGCTAAGATTGCATCACTGCACTCCAGCCTGGGGGACAGAGCAAGACTCCATCTCAAAAACAAAAAAAAGTCTGGGCTTTCCTTTTGGAGGAAAGCCCACCTACCTAGTGCCCATAGAAATTTCCCCAGGAGCAAGCAGCAGCAAGGCTTCCCCAAGCCCAGCGGCTCACTCTACCCCCTTGTCCTGAGACTGGAGGCCTCGGGTTGCAAACAGGCCTGCACCTTAGTGACAGGTCAAACAGGAGTTCTAGATTCTCAGTTCTATTTTTAGGGGTCACCGAATTCCTCATTTGTTTTTTGTTGTTTTTGAAATGAGGTCTTGCTCTATTGCCCAGGCTGGAGTGCAGTGGCACAATCATGGCTCACTGCAGCTATGGCATAACGACGGCTCACTGCAGCATAAGTGATCCTTCCAACTAAGCCTCCTGAATAGCTGGGATTACAGGAACGCACCACCACGCCCAGATAGTGAAAACAAATTGTTTTTGTAGAGATGGGGTCTCACTGTGTTGTCCAGGCTGCTCTCGAACGCCTGAGCTCAAGTGATCCTCCTGCCTTGGCCTCCAAAGTGCTGGGATTACAGTCATGAACCACTATGCCTTACCAATTCTTCCATTGGTAAGTGAATTTTTTCCAGCTTTCTGGTAAACTCAGAAATGTTCCTGTCGATTCTGTTTTTCCTTCAGAGTTCAGGCCTTGCCAATCCATGGCCTGGTTGGTAAAAAGGAACAGCATTCCGGCCGGGCGCGGTGGCTCAAGCCTGTAATCCCAGCACTTTGGGAGGCCGAGGCGGGTGGATCACGAGGTCGAGAGTTCGAGACCATCCCGGTCGACATGGTGAAACCCTGTCTCTACTAAAAATACAAAAAATTAGCTGGGCATGGTGGCTCGTGCCTGTAATCCCAGCTACTCAGGAGGCTGAGGCAGGAGAATTGCCTGAACCCAGGAGGCGGAGGTTGCGGTGAGCCAAGATCACGCCATTGCGCTCCAGCCTGGGTAACAAGCGAAACTCCGTCTCAAAAAAAAAAAAAAAAAAAAAAAGGAACAGCATTCCAGAGGGGACAGTTACCAGAGAAAACACTGGAACCTCCCCCTTCTGTCCCCCCACCAGTTAAATCTGCAATTTTTTTTTTTTTTGCATTTTATTTTTTGTATTTGTTTTTTATTTTCCCTTTTCTTTTTTAAAATGGAGTTTTGCTCTGTCACCCAGGCTGGAGTGCAGTGGCACAATCCTAGCTCACTGCAGCCTCTAACTCCTGGGCTCAGGTACGTGTTACCAGGCCCCACTAAACCTTTTTTTTGAGACAGAGTCTCGCTGTGTTGCTCAGGCTGGGGTGCAGTTGTGTACTCCCAGCTCACTACAGCCTCCACCTCCTAGGTTCAAGTGATTCTCGTGCCTCAACCTCCTGAGTAGCTGGAATTACAGGTATGCGCCACCACACCTGGCTAATTTTCTATTTTTAGTAGAGATGGGTTTTCACCATGTTGGCCAGGCTGGTCTTAAACTCCTGGCCTCAGGGAGTCCACGTGCCTTGGCCTCTCAAAATGCTGAGATTACAGGTGTGAGCCACTGGCCTCAGCCAGGCCCAGTTAATTTTTTGATTCCTTTTTTTTTCTTTTGAGATGGAGTCTCGCTCTGTTGCCCAGGCTGGAGTGCAGTGGCACGATCTCGGCTCACTGCAACCTCTACCTCCCGGTTCAAGTGATTTTCTGCTTGAGCCTCACAAGTGGCTGGGATTACAGGCGACCGCCACCACGCCCAGCTAACTTTTTGTATTTTTAGTAGAGATGGGGTTTCACCATCTTGGCCAGGCTGGTCTTGAACTCTTGACCTCGTGATCCACCCACATCGGCCTCCCAAAGTGCTGGGATTTCAGGCATGAGCCACTGTCCTGACCTTTCTTTTTTTTGAGACAGAGTCTTTCTCTGTTTCACAGGCTAGAGGGCAGTGTCAAGGTCTCAGCTCAATGAAACCTCCACCTTCCGGGTGCAAGTAATTCTCCTGCCTCAGCTTCCTGAGTAGTTGGGATTACAGGCACATGAACACTCGCCTGCACACCCAGCTAATTTTTTGTATTTTTAATAGAGACAGGGTTTCACCATGTTGTCCAGGCTGGTCTTGAGCTCCTGACCTCAGGAGATCCACCTGCTTCGGCCTCCCAAGTGCTGGGATTACAAGCATGAGCCACTGCATCTGGCCTGATCTCATTAAGTTTTCACAGTGGGGTAGGGGTTATGGATCCCATTTTTTTTTTTTTTTTTTTTTTTTTTTTTTTTTTAGAGACAGGGTTTCACTATGTTGGTCAGGCTGATCTTGAACTCTTAACCTTGTGATCAGCCCGCCTCAGCCTCCCAAACAGCTGAGATTACAGGCGTGAGCCACTGCACCCAGCTTTATGGTTCCCATTTTACAGAACTGGCAGTGGAGCCTCAAAGAAAGGAATGAGGTAAATTGCCTGAGGTCACAGGGCTAGGAAGGGACCCCAGCTCTGCCTGCTTCATGGTCTGTTCTGTTCCCTCAGTGGGAAGGAATTTTGATGTTGGGGTGGGTGACAGTTCCCGAGACAGTGGCTCCCCTTCCCTGCTTCCCTGCAGGGCGTGGACGAGTCGATGTGGCAGGCCTGGCTGTGGGGCTGACATGTGGCATCCTGGTCATTGTCCTTGCCGGCCTGGGAGCCTTTTGGTATCTGCATTGGCGACGGCGCCGAAGCCACCAGCCCTGTCCCCAAGAGTAAGGGGGCTTCAGTGAGGAGGGGGTGTCGGTGGAGAGTAGGGGAGGGAGGAAGGGTCGACCCAAAGAGATGTGCTAAGGATTGGGGTCAGGTGGGCACTGAGGAATGACTGAGGACACAGTCATTTGGCGAGTGAGTCTGTGAGCTGGTTTGTGTCTGGTTTTGGTGCCTGTCTGTCGCTCTGTCTGTCTAGACGGCAGTAGGATCTCTATCCGCTTTTGCTGCCGGCCTGTCTTTGTGGTACTGGGATTACCAGTATCCGTGGGATTACCACTCTGGATGTTGTATCTGGTGGGCTGTGACCATGCAGCCTGTGGTCTCTGGGCGTCTGTGGAATGTCAGCTTCAGTGGTGACAAGTGCAGCACCTGAGTGGGGGTGGGAAATTGATGAGGAGTGCATCTGTGTTGTGTTCCTGTCTATATGGATGGGCTGAGTTCTGTCTGTTACTGTGTGTGTTGACCTGCCTCTCTGAAGGGGCTTTTTTTTGAGATGGAGTTTCATTCTTGTGGCCCTGGCTGGAATATAATGGCATGATCTCTGCTCACTGCAAACTTTGCCTCCCAGATTCAAGTGATTCTCCTGCCTCAGCCTCCGGAGTAGCTGGGATTACAGGCGTGTGCCACCACACCCGGCTAATTTTATATTTTTAGTAGAGATGGAGTTTCTCTGTGTTGGTCAGGCTGGTCTCTAACTCCTGGCCTCGGGTAATCTCGGCCTCCCGAAGTGCTGGGATTACAGATGTGAGACACTACGCCTGTTTTTTTTTTTTTTTTTGAGGTGGAGTTTCACTCTTGTTAACCCAGGCTGGAGTGCAATGGCGCGATCTTGGCTCACCGCAACCTCCGCCTCCTGGGTTCAGGCAATTCTCCTGCCTCAGCCTCCTGAGTAGCTGGGATTACAGGCACACGCCACCATGCCCAGCTAATTTTTTGTATTTTTAGTAGAGACGGGGTTTCACCATGTTGACCAGGATGGTCTCGATCTCTCGACCTCGTGATCCACCTGCCTCGGCCTCCCAAAGTGCTGGGATTACAGGCTTGAGCCACCGCGCCCGGCCTTGTTTTTTTTTTTAAGAGACAAGGTCTCACTCTGTTGCCCAGGCTGGAGTGCAGTGGCCCATTCACAGCTCACTGCAGCCTCAATTTCCTGGGCTCAATAAATCCTCCCACCTCAGCCTCCTGAGGACCTAGAGCTACAGGTGTGCGCCATGCACTCGGCAGGGCTTTTTCTCCATTGCTCTGCCTGTATCTGGTGCACATGAGTGTGTCTAAATAAGAGTGTGTCTCTTTGGTTGCTGATTTCTGTGTCTGCCTGTGTTCAGCTGCCTGTCATTTGAGGCGCTTTTCTGTGTGTAGGGCTAGGCTGAAGGTGACCCTCCTTTTCTCAGGTCCACCTCCCTTCCAGCTCTGTCCCAACGTCAGCCTCAGAGACTCTGTCTTCTAGATCTCCTCTTTTTCTCCCAAGTCTAGGTATCTTGTAAGTTGCCTCTGCTAACGGCACTTTTGCTGTCCCCAGGTCCGGGGTCATCAGCCCTCTGAGTCCTTTGAGCCCTCTGGGCCCACCGACGCCCCTGCCTCCACCCCCACCCCCAGGCCTCCCCACCTATGAGCAGGCGCTGGCAGCCTCTGGGGTACACGACGCACCTCCACCCCCCTACAGCAGGTATGGGGCGTGGCTTCTGCCCGGGGGCGGGGCGCAGAGGGTTGGGCACTGCTGGAGGTGGAACCTGGGCTCATGGGCGGGACTTGAAATTTGGGCCTTATTATCTAGGGCGGGGCTTGGGGCTTGGGGCGGAGCCCCATGCAATAGTCTAGGGGCGTGGCCCAGCGTTGTATGTGTGGAGCAGTATAGGAGGGTGGGGCCTGTGCCCAGAGGGTCCGGGATTGGCTGAGACGCCAAGGGCGGTCGGAGTGGTCCGGGTTGAGGGGGAGAAAAAAACAGCCGGATCTTTGACTCCCTAGTGTGTCTCTCCTCTTGCAGCCTCAGGAGGCCTCACTGAAGAGCTGCTTTCAGACCGGCTCTCCGAACCGCGACCCTGATTCACACCGGATTCCGGAAGCCCCTAGGCCTCGTAGACGCCGAAGCTGGACTTGGAGGGGGGAATAGTGAGAATAGGGGTCGTCCGGCCCGAGGCCTGCCCTGGCACACGCGTTTCCGCCGCGTATGGATATACATATGTTTTCGGCAACATATTCCTGTGTCCTGGTCCCTCACGGGCCCCCACACTCTCCTGACGGTGAGGGCACCGGTCACATCCCGCCCCCGTGGTAGGCAGACGCACGGGGAAACTCGTACCCAGGAGCGAAGTCCCGGCTGTGCCGTCTTAGGTGTGAGCAGACGACCTGTCCATCCCCTCCAGTGCCACACGGTACGCACAGGCACAGCCCTGCCTGTGCACACGCGTGTCTTCGTGCACTCCCCGTGTGGTACAGGGGCGCTTCCTAACCCAGGGAAAGAGTGGGGGGCACATTCGCAAGTGTGCTCGGTGCGGGCAGGCTTGCACTACACCCAAGGAGCTGGAGTTGAGCTGTTCCCCTAAATAAAAACCCTTCGGAAAGGAGACCAAATAAAGCAGAAACGATGCAAAAAAAAAAAAAAAAATCTAATGACATGAATCGCGATCTCGGGCGCATTAGAACTGGTTTTCTGTGCAAACGCGCCCTACACCCGCAGGCCCCGCTCACTCTCTCTCTCTCTCTTTTTTTTTTTTTTTTTTGCATTTGCACGGGATTGTGGGAGGAAGCGGAGCGCAGCCAGACACCCCGCCGCCCGCCCCCCCTTCCCCTCCCCCCTCCCCCAGCCGCCTTGTGCAAAGATGGCTGCACCGTGAGCGCAGAGGAGGAGGAGGCGGCGGCGGCGGCGGCGAGAGAGCGAGCACCCATCGCCGGCACCCACCCCGGGGCCGCCCGGGACGCCCCCTCCCAAGCGCGCGCCCCCCCTTTTCTCTCGCAAGCGCCGGGGCAAAGGCGGAGACAGCGGGGTCCCTCCTCCCCCCTTCCCTCCTCTAGGGGGAACCCCCCCTTCCCCCTTCCTTGGCTCAGCGACTGCACCCCCTCCCTTGCCCGCCCCTCCGCCCCTGCCCCCTCCCTCCCCCGCCCGGGGCCTTCCCGGGCCTTCCGCGGCTGCAAAGAAAAAAAGAGAGAGAGAAAAGGGGGGAAAAAAAAGCAGCAGCGGAGGGAGCGGCGGCGGAGGAGAGCGCGCGCGCGCCCCCTCCCTCCCCCCTCCCCCTCCCCCCAATTTCCACCGCGGCCAATTCATGGACAGGAACTACCCCAGCGCCGGCTTCGGGGACCCGCTCGGCGCCGGGGCGGGATGGAGTTACGAGAGGTCAGCGAAAGCTAGGTAAGGAGCTGAGGGTGGCCTGGAGAAAGGGGCCAAGGGGTGGGAGCCCAGCCGGGCCGGGCCGGGCCCGCCCGGCGACGCGTGCATCGCAAACTCCCCTCCGGCTTGCAAGGGAGCGGCCTTCCTTGGTTTGTAACAACGCCGCCGCCCCAGTTTGCAAATTGCAAACTCCGCCGAAGCCAGCTCCGGCATGCAAAGGGAGAATTGCAGCGGGAAAATGGGGGTGCAAAACAATTTCGGACGGGAAGGCCTTGGGAAGGTGGGAGGGACTGGCGAAGCAAGGCCTGGACTTCCCCCCATCCTTGGATTCCCGGCTTGGTGACCCCTCCCCCCCGCGCCTCAGGCACTGCTCTTGCAAAGGTGGGAAGCAGAGAAGAATTAGAACGCAGATCTGGGGGGCGCGAACCCCCTCTCAGGTCCTATTGTTCCGGGACTGTGCGAGGCCGCGCCGATAGGCGCCCCCCCAAGAAATTCCGCGCGCAGAGTGGGCACGGGGCCCCGCCCCCTTCCTAAGCTGGGGTTGTGTGTGTAAGGGGGGGTCCGGCATCTGGGACACGCCCCCTTCAATGCCCCCACCCCCAAAGGCAGAGAATCCTAGTTGATGGCAAGGAGTGGAAGGTTTGCCCTCTTGAGTCCGGCCACGGATTGGGGCCGTTGCATGGGAAGAGTCGCATGTTTCCCGGGTGTTTGTGTGTATGAGCGTGGGCCCTGTGCGTGCGGGGCAGGCAGCCTGTTCACCTGTGAATCTGCCCCTTTCCTCCTGCTTCTTGGTGTGGCGCCCTCACAATTCACACTTCACCTGACTCTGAGCACCTCTCCCCAACACACCTGGGTTTCCCATCAAGGCATAACCCCAAGTGTGTCAGGATTTTCCGTGTGGGACTCCTTCGTCTATATTTTTTCTTCCCCACGGGTGAGTTGGATACCCGTTTGCACACATACCTGGCATTGCTCGGGCCCAGGCATTTGAACCTCAACCCCCGGGGATGGACGATGTTCTTGTTCACACTTGTACCTGGTACTTTCCCCGGGTCTTATTCCCTCTTCTCTCCACCCCGCCACCGCTGCTGCTTGGGGACCGATCTGCCTTCTGCTCCCAACTTGTTTTGCACCACCCCACGAAGTTCAAGGCCTGTGTTCCCATGTGTCTTCGGGACAGGGGGTGTCCATCTGCACCTCTGGGGTTGGCCCTACGGCCTGTGTCGCCGGCACGGGGGCTGGGGTTGGGTGGTCGGTGGGGTCGATGGGGGAGGGCTCACATTTGCAGCTCAAGACACTTCCTCTGCCTCGGACCCTCTTCTGCGTGTTATAGTGTCTTCTCTAAGCATGCCTGTTTGTAAACGTGACTATTCGAGGTCTGGAGTGGGGGCCATTTCTGTGGCTCTTTAGTTGGGCACCCCGATTCTCCCCTTCAAGGCTTAAGGTTCCTTAGCTTAACACCCCCCACCCCAGTAAGCTGGAAATGTCCCCCCAACTCCCCGGGGGCTTTCCTGAGCTCCCTTCTGAGAAGGCAGCTCGGGAGAACCCCCCTGACGTCTACCGTTTCCCCGCAGCTTGGTCTATGGCAGCTCCAGGACCTCGCACCCCGAGACGGACATCTTACACCGCCAGGCCTACGCGGCCCCCCACCCACTGCAAAGCTATGCCACCAACCACCACCCGGCAGGTACGGCCCCCATCCCGCCCCTTTTGGGCTCACCCTCCTCCCGAGGCAGCTGATTGGCTGTTGAAAGTTCCGCCCCTCCTAATTGGACGTGGCCCTTGCCGTGGCCCGCCCCTTGCTGTGTGTCCTCTGATTGGTTGTCTTTGAGGCTGCTGGTCCCTGCTTCGTTTCTCGCCGGATTCGTCCGCCTCTGCCTCGTCCCGCCCCTTTCGCTCCAATTGGCCCCGTCCCATCAGCCCCCAAATCCCACCTTCTCTTCCAGGCTTTTCCGCCTCTCTCCAGCCCACCCCAATTCCTTCCCTCTGGGTTTGCTCTATTCTTTTGGCTCCTTGCAACTCTGAATTCTTTCTTCCTGATTCCCTTTCTTACTGATTGGCTCCAATTATCTGGCCCGCCCTCTTTTTTTTTTTTTTTTTTAAATTTTGCCCCATTGCCTTATTTTACCCCCTCGTCTTTGCCTCCAAGGTTTCTGATTGGTTCCCGCTTCCTCGGGGTACCGGCAATGACGCGATGCTGTCCAGTTTGACCCTCGACCCTCCTGATTGGCTCCTTCCCTTTTTGTCTTCCCATCTTTTTCTCTGAATCTTCCCACGTGGTGCAGTCCCTTTTGATTCGTTCTCTGGTCTTTCTGGGACTCCAGTCTTACCGTCCTTTGCTCTAACTGTCTGAAAATACACACATTTGGTCTCCCTCCTGTCCTTACTGAGGACTCCGCTCTTTTGCCCCTGGCTCTTTAACTTCTAGATTTTTTTACGCTTTTGTCTACCATTTCCTAGCTGGGCCCCCTGCCCTTACGACTGATTGCCTGCTGTCCTGCTTTGCTGTCTCACCTTTCCCCCTTCCCTCCGCTCATTCCTGTCTCGTTAGCTTGGTTCTGTCCATTTTCTCCTCTTCGAATTTGCCCTTTTCACTTCCCTCCCCTCCTTTTCCTGATCCACCTCGCCTTTGGCCTCTTCCCTTTCTCTCTTGACCTTGCCCTACGCAGCCTCACCTGGCTGACTCTACCCCCTGTCCCCGGCCAGGCCTCTCTGGACTCTTCGACACTGGCCTCCACCACGCGGGCTCAGCAGGGCCCGACGCCTCCGTCATGAACCTCATCTCGGCCCTGGAATCCCGGGGCCCCCAGCCTGGCCCCTCCGCCTCCTCTCTCCTCTCCCAGTTCCGCAGTCCTTCCTGGCAAACAGGTAAGCCCAGCGCCGGCCCTGCAGGGCCAGGGTGGGGCTGGCTTGCTGTCCTCTCTCACCCTCCGTCTTCCTCATCTCCAGCCATGCACACGCCAGGCCCCACGGAGCTCTTCATCTCGGGCGCCCTGCCGGGTTCCAGCACCTTCCCGTCCTCCTCCGCCCTGTCGGCTTACCAACACCCGGCTTCCTTCGGCAGCCGCCCCTTCCCAGTGCCCTCGTCCCTCAGCCTCCAGGACCCCCCATTCAGCCCTCCAGCTAACGGGCTCCTGTCGCCCCATGACGTGCTGCACCTGAAGCCCTCGCAGGCACCCACGGTGCCTTCTTCGTTGGGCTTTGAGCGCCTGGCAGGGGGCGGTGTCTTGGGGCCAGCTGGTCTCGGTCCAGCCCAGACACCCCCTTACCGCCCTGGTCCCCCAGACCCGCCACCTCCTCGCCACCTCCCAACTCAGTTCAACCTGCTGGCTTCCTCTTCCGCTGCCGCGGCCGCAGAGCAGTCCTCCCCACAGCTCTACAACTTCTCGGGTGCTGCCCCAGGCCCCCCGCCGCCTGAGCGGGCCCTGCCCCGCCAGGACACGGTCATCAAGCACTACCAGCGGCCGGCCAGTGCCCAACCCCCACCGCCCCCGCCACCAGCCCATGCCCTCCAGCACTACCTGAGTTGTGGAGGCAGCTACCCCTCCATGGGCCACCGGGCCAACCTGGCCTGCAGCCCCCTGGGCGGTGGGGAGCCCTCTCCGGGTGCTGGGGAGCCTAGTAAGGCTGGTCCCAGCGGAGCCACGGCAGGGGCGTCAGGCCGGGCTACGGGCCCTGAGGCGGCAGGGGGCGCTGGGGCCGGGGGTGGTGGCGGAGGTTACCGCCCCATCATTCAGTCGCCTGGGTACAAGACGGGCAAAGGTGGTTACGGAGCAGCTGCCGGGGGTGGCACCAGGCCCCCCCCACCCCGTTCGACCGCCACCCCCAAATGCCAGAGCCTGGGTGGGCCGGCAGCCGCCTATGCCACTGGGAAGGCCTCTGGGGCTGGAGGGGCAGGGGGCCAGGCTTATTCCCCTGGTCAGCCCCAAGGGCTTCTGGGACCCCAGGCCTATGGTCAAGGGTTTGGAGGGGGGCAGGCACAGGACTTGAGCAAAGGCCCCAGCTACTCAGGGGGCCCCCCACAGCCCCCCAGTGGCCCCCCTCCTCCTGGCCTGGCCACATGTCAGAGCTACTCCCCGGACCAGCTGCAGGGGCAACTGTATGGGGTGCAGGGCGAGCCATACCCAGGGCCAGCTGCCCACTCCCAGGGGCTGCCCACAGCCAGCCCCTCCCTCAGCTACAGTACCGGCCATTCCCCCGCGCTCTCGGGCCATGGGGGTGGCTGGGGACCTAGTTCCCTGGGAGGCGGCGGCGAGGCCAGCCCATCTCACATCATTCGTCCACTCCAGTCACCGCCTGCCACCGGTCGCC